TTTTCAGGCTATAGTAGGAAATATCAATTTCATTATATTTCTTTACTTTCATTAAGTTTTTCCTCAGGCCTCACAGCTGCAGGGCTCCAACGCATATCAACGTATCTGATGTTTTCCAGACAAACTTCCAGCTACTGTATAATGGCGTATTGGCATCATTTGGTATAAAGGGGGTTCATTTAGATTCAGTTTATTTCTATAGCACAAATTCGCAACACATGTCACAAGGAACTTTACAGTTCACCAGATCATCCAGTCAGATTGATTAAAAGTTTTCTATATAAGAAAAACCCGTTGGTTGCGTCGACTCATTGACTTGAAGGCAATCCTTCACACTAAGCATGCTTGTAGCGACAGTGGAGAGGAAAACTCCCTTTTAACAGAAAGAAACCTCCAGCAGAACCAGGCTCAGAGTGAGCGGCTGAACAAACCATCAGTTCTCTTCCAGACTTCATCCCCATCATAGGGTGACCGAGAAGGTGAGTGTGATGGATCCTGTCTGCGTTCAAGCCCACTGCCAACAAAGTTCTTAGCAGACATGACATGTTTTTATGCAGGCCGGGCGCCTCTGGGGAGCAGCTTTAACTAATGCTCCTTAATGCCCATGAAATCATGCTTTACTCTGCCATGCGTTATGCATAAGTTAGGCTGTCATTGGACAAAAGTTCTGGACTCGGTATGAATACGCTATGTATACGGCCAAAATATCAAAAATACATAGAAAGTTCATCATATGCCAGAGTTTTAGGAGATTCTGGGAGGTCGGTCATATGCTAGCTAACTCTGCAAGGCGTGACAGGGGCCTGAAGTTTGGACAGAAAAACACTTTCTAGATCAGAACATCGAGCTGATATGATCGGACCTGCTTTCATCTTTCAAAAGATAAAGTGCCAACTGAGTGAATTTCCACCGATCTCCTTTTTTTTAACTGGATTAAACAGTTTAATATTTGTTTCCTACGACAGTCAGGAAATAAGCTACCACTTCAATCAAATGGATCCTATCAACACATCTGAACCCTGAACCAGTCGCTGATTCTGAAACTGTTCAACCAAACCTATGAGGAAACCTGAGCTCCCTCCTTCCACCCCCCTCTGTACTGGACCAGTTAGCATGACCTCAATGAACAACTGCTGCAGAGACGTCTTCCTCTAAAACAGCTTGTTCCTCTCGGTTGAAAGACTTACCGATACGGTTTGTCCGAGTTGTGGATCCGCCGGTGGTTTCTCACGCCGATGTAGGTGGCGCTGGTGTAGCTGCACACGTCGCATCTGTAGAACTTAGGCTTACCACCATCTGTCAGGACGGACAAAAGGAGAGGATGCTTTCTTCTTCCTGAACAACGGTCATTTAGCGAGGGAAGCGTTCAGTTTCTCACCTTCATCCGTTCCTCGCTCAGATTCCTCCACCGGGGGGATGGTGTCGGTGAGCGGCGCCGTGTCGCTGCTGCAGCTGAGGTGCTCTCTTTCATGACTTCTTAACTGACTCTGGTTAGGGGGAGAAAAAAAGAAAAACACATCTGTAAACCCGCAGGGATATACAAGCATAATAAAATATTAATTTTCATTTCAGTTTATTTCTATAGCGCCAATTCACAGCAAAGGTCACATCAAGGCACTTTTCAGTTCACCAGATCATCCATTCAGATTGATTCAAAGTTTTCTATCTAAGGAAAACCAGTTGATTGCATCGACTCATTGACTCTTCAGCAATCCCTCACACCAAGCATGCTTGTAGCAACAGTGGAGAAGAAAAACTCCCTTTTAGCAGGAAGAAACCTCCATTAGAACCAGGCTCAAAGTGAGCGGCCATCTGCTGAGGCCGACTGGGGTTCAAGGAGACAGAAGCGGCGATACGTTAGTATTTCTATTCTTACCTTGTAGTGGAAGGTCTGAGGACAGTGTCTGCACTGGTGCATCCTGGTCTTGCAGTGGTAGATCATGTGGTCTTCCAGGTCCTTACTGTCTGACGCCTTGTGTTCACAGATGGGACACTGGTACGGCGCCCTCTGCCGGTGGACGCGCAAGTGCTGCTTAATGTAGCCCTTATTGCTGCTGCTGTAGTGACACAGACGGCACCGGTACGGCCTCTCGCTGCCCGGGTTGTAGTCCACCAACCCCCCATCAGGTGAGCCAGCCAACCCGTCCTCCACGCCGTTCCCGGGGGCCGCCGCTCCGGCCAGGGCCCCGTTCTGGATCTGGGCATTATCCTGGAGCTCCTTCAATATGTCTTCGTCGGAGGCGTTCTGGTCCGAGCGCTCTCGGAGTCTTTCGATGACGGTGAGCAGCGAAAGGCTGATTCCAGCTTTGGTTGCGGGACTTTCCTCGTCCCCGTCCACGAGGCGCAGCGGCCTGAACTCCTCCTCTTTGCCGTGGCGGCAAAGCTTCAAGTCCAACAGCGCAGTGGTCTGCTCCAAGTCGGACGCCCTCTGTCCGCTCGGAGGAACGCCCTGCGTCTTCACGCCAGTTGTAGGGCTGGGGGCGGGCAGCTCCAGCGTCCTCATCGGCATGGCGACCAGAGCCTCAGCGGCCAGAGAGTGGAGGCGAAGGGACTCGGAATGTGTTCGCTTGCGACTGGTTGGGGGGACATTCTCGTCATCTACTGTAGGGAGGGGGGGCTTGGCGGGGAGAGGCTCCTCCTCCTCGTTTACGCCGAGCGCTCTCTGGTCCCTGTCCACGTCTGCGGCGAGGAGGAGAGGCTTCGCCGCCATAACCGAGTCCTCAGCTGAGGGAAGGCGTTCAACGATCACATTGATGTGCCCGACGCTGTTCGGGCCGCTGTTGATGATCTTCTGGGCTGAAGACAGCAGGCTGTCTGCGGCCGAGCTGCCCTCTCTGCCGCCGCCGACCTCCATGTCACAGTCTGCCTCGGTGATCACCTGCACCTCCACTGCCGGCTCCTCAGCGCTCACATCTTTAGGGACATAACCATTCTCAGCGTCACCGTCTGCGGTTGTCGCGGAAACGGCCCTGGAGTTAGAGACTGGAGCCGGCGGCATGCAGAGCTGCAGCCTCACGGCAGCTTGGACACTTTTATCATCCAGCCCTGGAGACTGGAGAATGACGACATCCTCTCTTGGCGCTGTGCTGCTGGGGGGGGCTTGGGTCTCCTGTCGTCCTGAAGCGCCGTCCTCCTCCTCGAAGATGGGATAGGAGCAGTCGACGAGGCCGGCGTGCTTCCAGGCGTGGGTCTTTAACATCCGCTGCTGGCTGCAGACATAGCTGCAGATCAAGCAGCGGTACAGGCCATACTCCTCATAACTGTACCATTTCTTCTTCTTCTGCAGCTCGGTGGAGTCCTCCGCCGCGCTGTTCATCAGCTCCCCGCCCCCATCCCGTTTTAAAAGCGTTCCTTCGGCCGCGCTGAGCGCAGACGCCCCGTCGTCGAAGTGCAGTCTGACATGCGCCTCCAGCAGGTCCTGGTCTCTGGAGGTGAAGTGGCACTCGGAGCACATGAGGATGAGGTCGCTGTGCTGCTCGTCATGCTGCTTCAGGTGCTCCCTGAGCTGCGGCAGCGTCTGGGAGAGGAAGGGACAGAGGCTGCACTGGTAGCACGTCACCGTGCGTTTGTGATCGCTGGGCTTTGAAACACCTGTCGCCGCCGAGATGCTGTTATTATTATCATCTTCATCATCGCCGCCATCTGCTTTTTCCTCCTCATTAACGTTTATCCTAATCTTCTTTTTAGGAGAACTTGCCAGACTCTGCCTCCCCCTCCCAGAGGGGGAGTCCGGATCTTGCCCTCTTTTCCGCCCCCCCAGAGCGCAGTGCCTCTGCGGACGCTTCTCCACTATCTTGCTGAGCTTCTCGATGACCTGGATGAGGGACTCGTCCACCTGTCTTGGCTGGGCGGCGTCCTGAGGCCGGGTCTGGAGGAGAGATGCTGGCGTTCCAGGAGATGAGGACGCAGCGGGTGATGCTGAGGACTTGGAGATGAGGACAGCAACGCTGCTAATCTCATCCATCACCTAGGAGACAGTAGCAAACACACTGGTTCAGTCCTCTGGTTGCTGCACGCTGATGTCATCATTTCTGGAACTTCTAGTAGTGAAAACAAGATGCCAACTGTGATTTTTAACAGTCAGCGAGATTCTGATGAGGAGCTTTGTACAGGCGTGAACTTAAAAGAACCCCAGGGCCTCGAACAAAAAACACTGAGAACCATTTCTGGAGGCTTATCTTTCAGAACCAAGACTTACAGGCCTGGAAAAAGGTTTTTTATTTGTTCAACAAATCAAACTATGTAAATATTTCTAACTTGTTAAACTTAAAGTTACTGAAGTTTAAATCAGAGATAGACGAACAGATAAGGAGTGATGTTATGTGCCGAGGGTTCATTTTTGCTTCATTTGGGGGAGGAGCCCAAATAGATGTCTGAAGCCTTTCTACCCCGCCATACCACGTGAGCGCTTCAGGAAGTAGTTAATCTCGCCCCGAACTTCCACAGGCATTTAAACAGCCTCAGTATTCAGTAAAGATGTGGGAGTTTGTAGGAAAGCTGGATAGAGTTTGGATAGATTGTAAGAATAGATTGGAAGGAAAACCAACCAATCTAGTTGGTTAAAACTATTTTGGTTTGGTTAAACAATGTAGTGATCAAAAGCTGAGCAAGCCGCTGGTTACAGTTGTAACATTAGTGATAAGTAGCATTGCTCACTTGACAGCCATCAACTCGCTATTGGCGTCAGCTCTAAGACAGGGACTTCCACCCAGGCAACATTTGATGTGTGCGTTTGGAGAAGTCTCTGAAATCTGCCCTAAAGAAGGGGAATTATTTACACACAGAGATTTGCATACGACCACCACGACTGCAAAAAAAATTAAAAATGGTACAGTGTATACCCGGCTTCAGATTAAAAGGAGTAAGGAGACTGTAAAACATTACTGCAGCGGTAAATATATATATATAAAAAAAAAAAAGATATAAAAACATTTTGCATTTAAGATGAAAAAGTTTTCATCTGTCGAGATGGTCTATCCAGAACAGGTGGAAACATTTTAGTTTCACCTGCTTTAATATCATAAAGAAATATTCTTTAAGAAACCTTGCCTATCAGATTATTAATGGAAAAATATAATCGAGAGATTAATCGATTTGCAAAATAACCATTAGCTGGTGACTGAGCTCCTCTCCCTCTCTCTAAGGCAGAACCCAGCCACCCTACAGAGGACACTCATTTCAGCTGCTTAGATCCAGGATCTGGTTCTTTGAGTCATAATCCAGATGAATGACCATAGATGAGGGTAGGAACGTAGACCGACAGCTAAACCAGAACTTTGCCTTTTCTCTCAGAGATGCAGAGTCTGCATTTTAGTAGAAGCCGCACCGATCCCACTATGGATCTCCTCCTCCACTGTTAGTTCAATCTCTAACGTACTGCTCTCTCTGCTTTTTTCTCATAGTAGCTTCATCTGGTCTGTTCCTGTTTGGCTGTGACTCCATCCTGGAGAGAAATATCAGCTGTTCTGCTGCCATCAACACCTTTGTTTATAGATTATGGATATCGGCCTGTTTTCCAGTGTAGTCCTGTTTCTCTGACTGTGACTAACTGGCTGTGCTCTCTTCATCCTCTGACATTGGAGCTGGCTCAGAGCTCGTCTGCCTGACTGTGTGTTTCCCAGATGGAGCCGCCTTTTACAGCTGCTTTTTGCATCTCTGCTTCTGTCTCCTCCTTTTAATGCTCTTCCTCCATCATCTTTACCATCAACAGGCTGCATCAATGTCTGAAATTCCTCGTTTTCCAACCACTTCTGTTGAAATTTGCATTTTCCCATTCTCTAATTATTTCTCCGCCTTGAGCTTCTTTTACGAAGATACAGCTTTACGATCAACCAGAGGCAATTCTGCGCAAACAAGCGGAACCGGTCATATCTGACAAAATTGTTTTTCTAAATTAAATAAGCATTTCAAATGCCACAATAATTATATTTAATGAATTTTAATGCCAATTAAGGCCTTAATAAAAAAATTAATTTAATAACATTTATTGACCAGTGGAAACCCTGTTGAACCCCAGTCGGCCTCAGCAGATGGCCGCTCACACTGAGCCTGGTTTTGCTGGAGGTTTCTTCCTGTTAAAAGGGAGTTTTTCCTCTCCACTGTCGCTACAAGCATGCTAAGTGTGAGGGATTGCTTAACTGGTTTTCCTTAGATAGAAAACTTTGAATCAATCTGACTGTATGAACTGGTGAACTGTAAAGTGGCTTGAGAAGCCATGTGTTGTGAATTGGTGCTATAGAAATAAACTGAAAGTGTTTTTATCCGTATTTTTTTCCCCACGTGCTGCTGTCTCATACTACCCAGACTAATCTGCACTTGTCTAATGAATGTTTTGCTTTGCAATCGACCTCCCTGGATAAGCAGAACAGTTTAATCCATTCCTGATAAGGGTTTCCCGCTGAAACACGTGCTTCTGTTTACAATCTGAGCTTTGAGGAACCGATGAGCTTCAGATTCCTTTCATCTCTACTATCCAACACTTTCTCCAGTTCCCCTCCTCTGACCGCAGCCCTGCTTCCTCTTTCTCCGCTTCTGAAGCAGCGAGAGGAAGGAGAGCATGAGGAGGGAGAGAGCAGCTCCATCAGCCCGTCCTCTGACCCTCACAGGGACACCTGTTATGTCAGGGTCTAAAAATATTTCCTCCACCAGCCTGTGGGGGAGGGGGGTGGGGGGCTCCGCTGAGCTAACAGGCTAAACGGACACGGACCAAAGTGGGTTTTTATTTCCGGTGATTTTAGGATTAAAAGCAGAGAAGTGGAGCAGACAGCGTTAGCTGGACAGCTGCTATCCACACACTGCTAACAGCTCAACACATCAATGTTCAACAAGGACATCTGGCTCTGCTCGCCGCTAAAGGGCGACAGAGGAGCACGAGGCGACACGTGACGGAAAAACCAACTCACCGACAGACACGGCGAGTGCTCTTTGTCCTCAGCGCATAAAACTCTGCGGTTTGTGCTCGTTAGCCATAAAAAAAGACTATTCTCTTTCTATAGCACATTGCAAAATGGCGAGGATGGAATATCGGTCACGTGACCTGGAGTTTGGGTCAGGTGACCAACGCCTCTTTAGGTGTTGCTCGTAAACGGCGGCTCTTTTCGCCAAGAAAAAAATCCCATCCCAGTCAGAAAGACCCAAACCTACGGAAGAGGAGTAGGGCTACTGAACAAATAAAAATAAGTTAACTGATTTTTAAATTTTATTTTAGTATGAGAAAAAAGGCAGAATACTGACTTTAATCATAATTCTGACTGAATTCTGACAGCTAGCACACTTCCATTAATGAAATAGCATCACCCCCTCAGACATGTAAAAAGTCACCTAATTGCCTCATTTTCCACCAATGTGTTCCTGTTCCTCCCAAACATCTCAAATCTTTGTCAGTGAAGCCAAGTGCTCCGACATCTCTTCTTTCATGGTGCCTATGTGCATTAATTAAAATTCTGAGATTAAAGTCAGAATTCTGAGATTAATGTCAGAATTCTGACTTTTTTCCATATTAAACTAAAATAATATTTAAAAATCAGTTAACTTTTTAACGTTTTTTCAGTGGCCCTAATCCTCCTTCATACAAACCAACAGTTAGGCAAATTTAAGTTCAAAACCTCTGAAGCAGTGTCCCAAAATTGCAGATGATCATTAATTGTAAAAAAAAAACAAAACAAAAAAACAAAAACAAAGAAAGATTTTGTTATTTTCATGATAGAAGTGATCCATTGTAGCGCTCAGACTTCAAAGAAAACAAAAAAAAAATCAACATAATAGTGAAAACTGCAAAAAAAGTATCTTGAAGTCAGAGATTTAAACTGGGAAATGGTTGAAAGCATGATGGGAAAACGAGTAGGACCATCAGAAACTGGCAGAGTGACAATAACTCAAAGATAAATTAGAAATTATGAGGACAAATTTAATTAAGTATTTATTATGTTGGGTTAGGTTAAACAGTTCGTAAAAATATTATTATTTTTTTTAAAAAAAATTCCTAAGGGAAGGAAGCCTGGTTCCCGGTTCCCTGGTTAAACCCCTAACAAGTGGGGGCAAAACGGCAAGGAAGGCACTCTGAACTAGTTTGCCAACGGCCATAAAACCTTACAAGAAGAAGAAGAAGAATGTGGCTCTTTTTTCGTCAGAAATAATCTCCAGAAGCTTCCTGATGAAGCGCAGCTAATCTCAGAGGTTTTACTTTCCAGCAGGACTTGGAAGATATCCAAAAGTCACTGAAATGTTACTGAGCCTGAGTGGCCATGGAGCCTCAGAGGTTCACAAGCACCTCAGCAGAACCACAGGCTCATGGCCTCCAGGCACTGATGGAGAAGTCAAGTGCTTACAGTTTACATCACGTGGATTTTATGAAGTTTTTTCTATTGCATTGGAGAGAAATATCAGCTTTATAGATGTTGGTGATCTGCCTGTTTTTCAGTGTAGTCCTGTTTCTCTGACTGTGACTAACTGGATGTGCTCTCTTCATCCTCTGTCATGGGAACTG